CCCTAATCAGCAAATGTTAAATTCTTTGACAAAATAGTTAATCTGGAAACATAGGTGAGTTGGAGTTTTTTCTTTATTATTATTATTTTTTTAACATGGATATTTTGGCCTGAAAATTCACCAATATATTCTCTTAAATGCACAGTTTAATAAACAAGCCAAACATGTTGATGCAGAAATTAGGGCTAAGACTTACAATGTAATTTACAACCATGATTGCCTTTGTTAAGATGAAAAGCCAATATTCTCCTGAAAGGGAAATGATGTTTATATCACAGCAGGTTACTTCCACAGAACTAAACCAACGCACGTATTTGAGCAAGTAAAATGGAGTACTGATGGATTTTAAACACTGTTCAAGTACATATCATACAATCAATCCTGTGCATATTTTGAGTCTGTTGTCAGCGCATATTGCATACTTCCACTAGACGTAAAGATCTTCCCCTTGCAGGTGACTCCTTAAAAGGCAGCTTTTCTTATTATAAATACCCTCCCTCGCTATTTGTTCAAACCCCTCCCTCTGCTTCCCATCTCTTGCCGCCCCGGAGCATGCACATACACTCTCAATTGATAATAGAGTCAGAGTGTGCATTGAAGAGCAGTGGTGAATAAGAACTTTTTTTTACAAGCTTTTTTTGCAAATGTAGGAGGAGTACGCTCTCCACAGTGCCCATTAGAGCATATTACACAGGAAAGACCCCACCCCTCCAAATGATTACAATAATTTTTTTCTCCAAAATAACACATATTTAAAAGTAAAAAAAAAAAAAAATGGCTTAACATTATTTGCAAAATGGAGTAGTTATGGTGCTTAGAATAACTCTTTAAAACAGTTCTGCCACCTACTAAGTGTTGTATATGTGTTGTATAATTTACAAAGAACTCTGATGGTGACATTGACACTAATATGTAATGGCCTGGGAGTTCAGAGCAAGTGAGTTATACTTACCTAACAGTGTCCCCGGGAAGTTCTGCCATCTTCAATCTTTAGCTGCTGGCTCTTCATCCTCTAGGAGCCCACGTCTTCTTTCTGGAGGTCTTATTTAGCACCTCGAGCTTAATTTACCAGGAGTACAACACTGAAGACTAATGAGAATCCTGCAAGACTGTGGGAGCCTCCATAGATTACATTTTGCCATGAGCAATACCATGCCTTGTGACAGCTGATTGGGGTTGGATAAAATTTGCCTGTGGATCTCTGCCTTTTGTCAACCTTAGACTTTATGAAATACAAATGAGTTCCTGCTTTATCTTATGATATCTTAAGACTGCATTGGAATTTTAATAAAATTCCAACATGGTTTTATTAGGATCTCATAAATAGTTTATCTTTTTGAAATGCTCAAATTGTTGTTGTTGGGGGCTGGGACAGATCCACTTTAAGTATAGTATCTATAGGACAGTAATCATTTTGTATAATGAGTGTCAGGATAGTTATATTATCACTTATATGTGATCATGTCTGTTGCATTGCTGTTTTGCTCCAATGAACCCAGGTCTGCTGCACTGAGTTGAGTTTTAAAGCTTTAGCAGTCTAGGAATGTATCTTGCAAGCTGGGCAAACTGACACCAATTGTTGGCACAATTTGAATACAGAGAAAGAAGTACCCAGCAGACACACTGTGAAGACATTGAGAGCTCATGCTAGCAGAGTGATTCAGAATGTGTCAGCCTCAATGTGGTGGTGTGTGATTAGTTTAATAATCTTCTAATATATGAAGGAGGACGAGGGAATGAGTAACAATAGCTGCTCTCATGCTGATGTTCTGTGTCACAATGAATGAGATGTTTGATCAGGAAAACTGTGTGCTTGAGTTTGTGTTATTTATAGACGTTACTGTAGCAGCCCCCAGCCTTTTCTGCTGTTTCTAGAAAGCTATAAATTCTACCCACTACTTGCTATCCTCACGCCCCCTAAATCATACTCAACTACTGCTATATTTCTAGGTAAAACCACACAAAATCCAAAATCTCTTCAATGTAAAATGTTAATTGGTGAGGAATATTCTCAACATTTTGAAACACAATGTTTTTACCATCTCCCCATTCCTCTGCTGTGCATTGTACTGCAGGCTATTCTGTAACTATATACAGCTCTTGAGGACTCTAAAAACACTTTAAAAAATATATAATTTAAGGGATCAGTGGCTATAATAAACATTTGTTTCACTGAGAAAAATCTTTATGCTCCATAAATCGTAAATCACTACTTCCATCACTTTACCTCCTTGTGTCCTTCTGATTTCACAAGTTCATTGAATGAAGCCAGAAACGGAAGAAACCATCTCAGATTAAGGCTGATCATAACAACATGTGATGATATAGTAATGCATACTGCAAGTCTGTAATAGATAACATTTATGAGCAGGCTGCAATTTTAATTTAACATAGTGAAGGGTACTGAACTTTTGATGAGTACAGTAAAGAAAATATTTTACTTCTCTATGCAAGTAAATTCAAAACTTGTGGAATCTATCCTTAACGCACTTAACATGCATCAAAAAAACACACATTCTACATCTGTCCCTGGGCCAGCTAACTCTTCCTCTCTCTCCGTCTAACTCTACAAAAATAAAAATAATAGCAAAATAGTTCATTAGTTTAGCTTCCATAGTTCATAAAAAAATAAAAAAAAATAGGTCTTTCAAGGAATATAAGGAAATCATTTTGAATACCATAAATTGCTTAAAAAGAATGTCTAATAGTCGCAAGATGGCTGACAAAAAGGTAACGCATGGGTTTTGGCCAAACAGATGCGATTGCAAAATAGTTAATATAGGGTCAACCAGAAGAGAGAGATAGGTGAGCAGGTCCCAAGAATCTGGCAGCACAAGCACTCCAGGACAGTCTCTACAATCATACAAATACAAGGATCAATAGGACATGAACAGTTCCTAACAGGATAAATTTATCATTATCAATTACCGAGACTAAACGTCAATTCAAAACTTAAGGGTTTAACGTTTAACACTTTTGTATCGATTAGAGAAGCATTCACTCTACAGAAGCGCTTGATTGGACAGTATGAGTATAATTCTGTACATAATCTTAGCATATACCTATGGGGATAGTTCCCAATAAACTTGGTTCCTAAATTTAAACCTTGATTTAATAATCCCAATTAAAATTAATTTAATACTCTTGGATTAACTTCTAAATTATAACTTTTCAAAACACTCATATATCAAATGTTAAAAACATAAAAAAATCTAACTATAAAAGCTACATTGTCTGCACTATTAAACCTCATAAAAATCCAGAAATTCTTAAACAATTGATTTATCTTTTACTGCAAAATCCTAATGTCAGGCCTTTGTTCCCAATAATTAATAGAGCTAGGGCAAGATTACCTAAGCAACACAATTCCTCCTTGTTAAATGAGTATATTATTTATCTCCTCTTCTGGGTCAGTTTGCTAAAATATCTCCTAATAAGGTCTTCCAGCAAAATGCTTTGAATTTACCAATACAAATATAATACATTAGTTAAAAAGATTACAATTACCTCACTTATAAAGTACTAATTTTAGCATACATTCTCTGATCATTATTAAAATATCATTTCACCATCGCTATGATCAATTAGGTACAGTAAATGAACCTTACTTCAGATAAACCATACTTTTTAAAAAAAATTTAATGGTGCCAGGATCATGAAAGGAGAAGTCTCTGGCTGATTAATAAAATCATTATCTATCACCTAAGAGGACAGGTTGCTTAGTACCTAAATCCCAGCCAACCATGTAGCAAAGATGAAAGGGATCAATGCAGTGTGACGAAGTGCCCTTCGCCACTTGTGCCTGGAGAGAACTAATTGCCAGCCTCTTGCCATGTGACTATGGTTCCTGGGAGACTTTGCCAGTTAAAACACTATTTGGACTTATTGGTGTTTAAAAGACTGTTCTGGCCCTTTGATTGGAACTGGCACAATTCTGCACATTTGATTCCATGGGAGAATGTGCCTCTTCCCCTCCCCTCCTTTTCCTGTCCCATTGTTCTCCAGCAGTGTGTTGTCCCAGGGACACTGCCAGACCAGTTTAAACTGGCAGCTTTGTCCCTCCTCAATCTCTCATCAGCCCTTGCAAAACATTAACCCCATGGCAAATTTACTCTGTTCGTGGGATCTGAGCACTGTTCACTTATATTGGGCGCTCAGATGCGAGCTATCTGGTGATAGGTTAAAGGTGGGGGTTCTGTGTAATATAATAGGAATTATGTATTTTTATGTATTTTTACTGTTAGTGTAAAATGGAGATATTTTCTGTACCTGGAGATAATTGAGTTTACAGTGCCTTAAGCCAATTATCTCCAGGATAGAGGGGAGGGATTTTACTGTGTATGTGGAAGTGTTATTTTGTTAATTAGTGTTCCCATTGGTTTGTGTCCCTTTTGTCACAGTTTACCACCAGGTCCAGGGGGTGTGCTTCTGGCCTGAAAACTTGTATAAAAGAAAGTCCTTTTGTGTGCATTAAACAGACCTGCTTGACCCTTTCTTGAAGCCTTGGCTCATGCTTGGGGGATGGGATAACTACACTCTGGGGATTGCTATAATCACACTATACTCCCCAGGGTAAGCTCTTGTAAGAGCTGTTCTTGTTCCTGCTACGCTCTCTGGAGGAAGAGAGGTCTGCCCACTGGAAGCTGGATCCTGGCCTTGGGTCCAGGGTGGGTGAAGGACGGTGGGACCCCGGCACATCTGCATCGCTGTAAGTGTGGTCTGCAGTGCTGATGGTGTCGATTGGAGTGCTTGGAGTCCTCGGCAAGCACTAGGAGCATCGATTGGTGGAGGTACACGGTCGGATTGCCAGCATTCCGTCACATTTGGTGACAGCGGCGGGATGGCGTCCAAGTGCGAGGAGAAGCAGCTCAGAGACACCGGTAACGTGTGGAGTTACAAACTGAGGGCAACGCTAGCACTCGTGCAGCGCCCCTGTCTACAGAGTAATCCAAAAGGCGCAGATTGGAGCGCTAGTGGCCCAGAGTGGGGGCCAAGCAAACATGTCATATCGCTATGAGGGCGCCGCTTACAATGAGGAAGTAAAGAGGCAGCTAACCAGGTATGGCCCAGATCCTTCGGCGGAGACGATCATGGCAACCATGCACGAGCTGGACGCTGAGAACCGAGCAGCACATCTTTTCGAGCTCAAGCTACACGCAATATTGGGGAGATTCAAGAACAAAGGACATATACCCGGAGTAGGGACAGTGGGTCCTACTCCCCACATTGAGCATTTTCAGCTGCATTTTGTGGGGTCCCTTTCACGTAAGATGTAACGAGAGCTTTTCTTGCAAAGTCTTATATCATCAAAAATCTCCAGGAGTATAGCATGGAATGGTATCATTCATGAAGGCTGTACAGCATTTGACCTGTTTCAAAAACTCTAAGGCTTTGCATTAATGACATGCAAATATTACTCATGGTACTATTTAAACTCATAGACAATGTACAAGGACATATAACACACGCAAAACATAGAATTCATACTCAACAATCATTGCAATATGATACATGTTGTCAATCAACAAAACAGAAAACAATAGATGTAGTGGATACACACAGTGGACAACCAGAAGAGTTGCTAATGCAAAAAGCACTTTCATGGATGCACAGATAAATCATAACCCACCCAAAATATGTTAATAACATAAGTAAATAAAGTTCATACTCTATGTCCTTCAAAGGAAACACAGTGAGACAAAATTTAGGCCTCTATGCTCAGGGCATATTAACTATTAAAAGGGGCAGTTAACAAACTAACAAAGGTGTCTGATTACAAATGCACACTGGAACTGACAACGCCAATAAAATATTATACTCCATGCCCTATCATGGGCAAAACACAGTCATAATTAGGATTTATACTTTTTAAATAAAATACAGAAATCTGAACAAGCTCTTGCATATGCAGATTTTCCACATTACATACTTTAACCTTCATAAACAACTAGTTTCATTGCTAACCTCAATCTTTTTATAAAACTTCAGACATTTTCTCGGACATACAATTTTCCTTTTCATTGCATTCTTTACTCTGCACAGTTAGACAAAACAGATAAGAACGTAATCCAAAACATGACATATCTGTACAGTACGAGGCAGTGAAATGTAAAACTCCCTGACACAATAGAGTGAAGCTCTGCACTCCAACTCCCATTAATCTTTAGCGGCAACAACGGCTGTAGTATACATCAGTCCATAAAACATTTATTCAAGAGGTTATTAGGCAAAAGGTTCTATCTATATCTACAGATAGGGACAGGCCCGGACTGGCCATCGGGCACACCGGGCAAATGCCCGGTGGGCCGCGATGGCCGTGGGCCGAGGCCGGCAGGGGAGATCACAGGATCTCCCCTGCCAGCCCCTGCAGGGCCAGCGCTATCCAAGCGCCGGCCCTGCTGTGTGTCTCCATGGGCCGGTGGGGAGATCACAGATCTCCCTCACCGGCCCACAGGCAGTTACAGGCGGCCGCCAGCAGGCTGGGGAGTGAGGGAGGCAGGAGAGGACCGGCGGAGATCTAACCAGCAGCTCCGCCGGGTCCTCTCGCGGGCTTCTGAGCGTTGCTGCGGTTACCACGGCAACGCTCAGCTCTCGCGAGGGTGAACTCTAGCCTGCAGGCTAGAGTTCACTCTCACCACTGGACCACCAGGGAAGGCAGCATGGCTCCCCACCCCCAGGCAGAACGGATCTCCCCCCTCCCAGGCTAACGATAAGAAGGGATGGGGGGGGACATAACTTTTTTTTTTAATTATTAATAAATAAAAAAAATATTTAAAATAAATTCCCTAACAGCCCCCTCACACACACACAGCACCCCCAGACACACACAGCACCCCCAGCACCCAGACACACACACAGCACCCCCAGACACACACACAGCACTCCCAGACACACACACACAGCACCCCAGCACACGCAGACACACACACAGCACACGCAGACACACACAGCAGCCCCAGCACCCGGACACACACACAGCACCCCCAGCACCTCCAGACACACACAGCACTCCCAGACACACACACACAGCACCCCCAGCACATGCAGACACACACACAGCACACGCACACACACACACAGCACCCCAGACACACACACAGCACCCCAGACACACACAGCACCCCAGACACACACAGCACCCCCAGACACACACAGCACCCCAGTCACACACACAGCCCCAGTCACACACACAGCCCCTCACACACACAGCACCCCAGACACACAAAGCACCCCAGCACCCAGACACACACACAGCACCCCCAGGCACACACACAGCACCCCCAGACACACACAGCACTCCCAGACACACACACACAGCACTCCCAGCACACGCAGACACTCACAGCACACGCAGACACACACAGCACCCCCAGACACACATAGCACCCCAGCACCCAGACACACACACAGCACCCCAGACACACACACAGCACCCCAGCACCACACACAGCACTAGACACACACACAGCACCCCCAGCACATGCAGACACACACACAGCACACGAGACACACAGACCCCCAGACACACACACAGCACCCCAGACACACACACAGCACCCCAGTCACACACACAGCTCCCCCAGCAGCACCCCCAGACACACACAGCACCCAGACACACACACAGCACCCCCAGCACACGCAGACACACACACAGCACCCCTAGACACACACACAGCACCCCCAGACACACACAGCACCCCCAGCACCCCCAGACACACACAGCACCCCCAGACAGACAGCACCCTCACTCCCACACATATACAGCACACACACACACATATATATATATATATATATATATATGTGTATATATATATATATATATATATATATTATAAAATAACACTCAGTGAATTAACAGACAAAGAAAATTAGAAACCTAGAATGTGAAGGCAGATAAAACACCCTCACACACAGCACCCCTCTTACACAAACACACTGCGCACCTCACACATACAATACGTCCAAATATATTATATATATATATATATATATATATATATATACACACACACACACACTACAGCACCCCTCACACTGCACCACTACACACATTATGCTCCAGATACACATTAGATCCCTTACCCTATATGCACTCTTAATCCTCTACACAAACACACACACACAAACACAATCTTCTATACACACTCTGGGTCCTTTACACACTAGATCTCTTACACACACACTGCACCACCTACACACACACACTACATTCCTTGTAAGCAAACACATATAACATTCTCTAAACACACCCTCTCTACAACCCCTACACACACTACGTCACCTATACACACACACTACTGCCCTTATGCACACACTCGCTACATACCCTATAACATTATGCCCCTATACACGCACTCTCTACAGCCCCTAGCCACACATATTACTCCACAAAACTGACCTATTTACACAATACCACACCACACTCTACACACAGGCAATCCCACAAGTATGCGCCAAACACATGCAACATACACTTTTCTGGCCCTTTTGTCCTCTGGTAACCCACTTGTGGAGACACCAGAGACAATTTAAAAGCAAACACAGTGCAAGCATGTTATTACATTTGCTTGCGCTGCGCAGAACAAATACAGGGCCTTTTTTAATGCTAGAGCTCTTCAGCGGGGCTCTGCGCATTGAACCAACATGCTCACTTTGAGAGGGGGCGTGCTTGTCATTAGTGATGACAAAACACACCCTCTCTGGCCCCGCCCCCTTCTTGGGGGGCCGCTCTAATTGAAAAATGCCCGGGCCTAATTTTTTTCCCAGTCCGGCCCTGGATAGGGACAAACTGATTCAAATATATATTTTTTTTAAAACACAGTACTAACTCAGTCTAATTGTCAGTTATGTTGCACACTCCATATGTTCATACCTTCAGCTTTAACAATGGCATTCAAACCACACATTAACATATAGTCACTGCATCCACACAGTATAAACTTGTAACAGCTGTAGTATTTAGAACATATTATTTTAAGTTATACTACAGGGCTGCTGAATGCTTCAATCTGATTGGTTGACGAACGTTCTAAGGTGTGCATTATTTTCAGGGAGATGCACCGCTAAAGTAGTTCCAGACAGGTCTTGACCGCATTACAGTTGCGTAAGAAATTAGTCCTACATACAAGAGTGTTTTAATGACAAAAACTTGACAAACGTCTTGAAATACATCATCTGAACAATGTTTTGAGGTGTGGTAACTGTACTATAAGCGGAATAATTGACTCCAGGCCATTGAATTATTAGAAAAAAATAATGCACACCTGAGGTGTAACGGCCACTCCGCTTAGCGTCGTGACCTTCTTACCACCTCGGGTGTGAATTATTTTTCTAATAATTCAACGGTCTGTCATCCAATTATTTTTTTTTTCTTAATTTTACCTATGTTTCATTTTATTTTCTTATTCACCTTATTATACTTAAAGCACCTTAGATGTTTTAGAAAGGAGGGATCCCCTTATATAGCACATTTTTCTTAGATTTATTTATTTTAACTTTTATTTAGCAATTGTATATATGCCGGCCACTCCGGTCACACAAGGCCTGTACCCTGTCAATATTTTCTCTCAGATTATGCTACATCAATCTAATAAACAATTAGCAAATATTTGGACCAGGTGACACAGAACTTTTTTCTGGCCTCAGATATTCAACATATGTATAGCTATGCCATGTTAACGGTCTGGCAAACCGTTGATTAGACCGGTCAAAGTTGAATATCCAAAAGTCATACAAAAGCAGAATATACCATTGTCCGTGATTATCTGATCCAGACTACAAGCCTGACCAACATCTCAAACCCCACACACCTGGAGTCTACAATTGTGGTAACTAGGAATAAAAATCTCCTTCAACATTTTAGTCCACTATTACAATTTAAAAGAAAACATCAAATAAGAGATATATTTGTAGTAGACAATTTGGTATTGTGTGACATACACATGTCCTTGCCATTGCCAAAGGGAGGTACTGGTAAAAATATTACCAGTGGCATTGTACACCATTCTGGGTGGATCTATGGTCAACTTAACCTCTTTAGTGCCTGTCAGTATGAAGACAGATAGGCTGCTGAGTATATCAGTCAATTCCTGTGGAGAGAAAAGACACATGCCCCGCTGTGGTGCAAAGTGAAAAATGCACCGTTGTGTAATTCATTGATGGGGCTGGTCATTGCGAGGTCAAAGGGTGAAAATACAGTAGTGCCTCCCTAGAAAAAAAAATGCTCATGAAGGGGTGACTTGGCAAAGGCTCAGGGCTGTAGGTGAGTTAGTTGGGGTAGGGTCGACTGTGATTACCCAATAAGGGGAGAGGGAAACCCATATCTTCCCACATGTATGCATATACTTCTCATCCCAGTAGCTATCTGGTCCATACCATAGCCATATTGCCTTTTAACCCGTACACAAGCCTTCTATCATTAAAACATGTTCTGGGTCCAAGCCTTCTTATCTGGGAAATATGGTCCTGCCTTTCATCCCCTCTATTGTACGCTGCTAGATTATACAAGATTATAGATATGCAAAAGGGGTCCACATAATAATCCCCTGCAATTCTTTGTATAAAATTATTAGGGGTCTCAATTAGACTTGGGGAATGTCCCCCTCTTTACAGCCCCATGTTTAGTTTTACAATTCTGTTTATAATTTCTCTGCCCAATCTCAATCTAGGGAGTGTACTTTGACACTAAATAGTTATACAAAGATGTCTATAACAAAATAATTGTGATACAACTAATTAAGGAGCAATAACACACATAATGGATATTCTTTAGCAAGCAAAGATGTAATAATACTGCCAAAAAGCAATATAAATCAGTGTTGGGCTGCTGTAAGTGTGAAAATGTATTTGTTTGTTAGGGTTAGCAGCAGTATGGGTCTACATACACTCAGAGGAAATGGGATCTTTAACTATTGTGTGTGCTGTTTGGTGTACCACTCTGTCCAGATAACAGGACTTATGAAACTATCCCTAGATGTGTTTTTCCAATCTAGGGCGAAGTCCTGGTCTCATAAAAATGTACCAGGCTCATTTAAAATGTAACTACTAGTTCAGATTACAAATTCTTTCACAGCAAACATATATTCCTAGTCCAAATGTAAAAAAGAGAAATATTGGGCTCATGCAGTTGATTAATAACAAACATACAAATCATACATTTATAGAACAATTGTATCAGACCCTATTCAGTAAAATGTTCAATGACAAGTCAAAAACCTATGCTCTAAAATTAATAAGAGACAGTGTGGAAAGCAGAATGAAACACATTAACGTAGGAGAACTCTCTTCACTGATCCAGGGACAAAGTGAACCAAACTTATAAATCCCCTACTGACTAGCTAAACGGACAATAAATCCATATATAGACTCACTGAGAGTCTCCCTTACTAACTGACCTAAACACACATCATCCTAATGGTGACTCTCAATAACAGACATCACCTTACTGGTGACTCTAAATAACAGACATCACCCTACTGGTCACTCTAATAACAGACATCACCCTACTGGTGACTGTCTCTCAGCTTAAGACAAGTTCAAAATAGAGAACTGCAATACCTCCGGGATTAAGGACAGATAAAGACATAAAAAGTCAAGATTTATATGCTCACTCAGATTTTACAGTGGTCTATCCCAGACGAGCCCCCATTTGTTAGACTGCAAATCAACATAGTGTCTGAAACCCTTACGCTGCCATGGACTTATGCACTAACACATTCTGCTTTCCTTTATTGCTGCAGGGAACACTCAATGCACACCAGTCATTATATATAAAACATAGTTTTCTTAGGGGTGTATACAACAAAAGGCAAAATAAATCAATCATGGACATTTCAGTGCAAAAAAGTATAATCATTCATTTAACATTACGTATTGCTGTTAGTCTACTGCGCATGTATAGCACGTCTTATCTAAATTATGCAAGGTTCTTTCATGGGAAAGAAAAGGGAGGAAACTGCAGAAGATTGCAGACATGAGTAGGAGTACAAATCTTACTTTTTACCCCTGCAGACATGGAAGGACTAAGGCAAATGTTTTAACCCTTTATTTACTTGTATCTATGACAAGTCCCGTCTTCTGGCACTGCAGGTGAGAGTGTTAGACTAGGTATATCCAAATGTACTAGTTATACCTGTGGGACTTTAATTAGATCTTCACCTCGATTCCCTTGCCATCTCACAACACTCAGAGCCATCAAGGAAGGCCTGTCCAGATATCTGCCAGCGTTACAGGATAATATAGGTTATTAAATCCACGTCTCATTATGCAATACATCCATAGGTTAATATAAATAAATATATATATATATATATATATATATAAAAAGATGATGGCTTGGCACTCTCCTTAAAATGGATAATCCATATATTACTTGCCTGGGTGCAAATCTTCAGCGTCAGAAATATAAAAATAAAGAATTCAAGATGCACTCACAGGTCTTCAAAAATAAGGAAAAACTGGTGTTTTATTAATCCATACGTGATATACAACGAAAATCAATCGACGTTTCGACCCTGCCGGGTCTTTTTCAAGATCGATCTTGAAAAAGACGCGGCAGGGTCGAAACGTCGATTGATTTTCGTTGTATATCACGTATGGATTAATAAAACACCAGTTTTTCCTTATTTTTGAAGACCTGTGAGTGCATCTTGAATTCTTTATTTTTACAGGTATAGCTAAAGGTAAAAATCACAGGGAGGCAGATGGAGGAACTGAGTCTCAATAACCATAAACCAAAAAAGGCTAAAAAAAAATAAACTAGTGCATACTAGTATACACGCTGAGAGTGGGGCCCAGTTTTTTTTTGTTTTTTGTTTTTTAAATGTGTATGTCAAGGTGTGTATATCTGTGCTTGTATGTGCCAGTTGTATATCTGACACACAGATACACACACTGGCAGATAGTGGCACACAGATACACACACTGACAGATACACACACCTTGACACACAGTGTGTATCTGTGTGTGTGTATGTATGTATCTACCTGTGTGTCAAGGTGTGTGTATTTGTGTTTGTATGTGCTAGTGTATCTGTGTGTGTGTGTGTGTCTGTGTTTGTATGTGTCTGTGTATCAAGGTGTGTGTATCTGTGTTTGTATGTGACAGTGTGTATGAATCTGACCCACAGATACACACACTGGCAGATAGTGGCACACAGATACACATACTGACAGATACACACACACCTTGACACACAGTGTGTATCTGTGTGTGTGTATGTATGTATGTATCTATCTGTGAGTCAAGGTGTGTGTATTTGTGTTTGTATCTGCCAGTGTGTATGAATCTGACACACAGATACACGCTGGCAGATAGTGGCACACAGATATACACACTGACACAGATA